GGTGCTGGATTGACAAGGCTGAGCCCCTTTGATTACTCTTAAAACACACAAGTATGCAATGAACTCCCCTCTCCCGGTTTCGACAGTAAACAACATTCCAGGGCTCCTGCTTCATCTCCTCCCCGGCCCGGCACCACTTTCTGTTGTTGTTTTACTGGAGGATTTTACAGCAAATTCCAGACAGGTTCCAGACGGCATCTTATCTGTGAGGACTTCAGCACAGATCTCTGGTCTGCAAACCCTGGGTTGAGATGTATCACGAAATCCACCGGGCGGGCTGTGATCGAGGACTAACGACCAAACAGACCAGAAGAGACTGTAAAATCTGTGCAGAGTCAGGCGGACGTGAAGTGTCTTCCTGGTGGGGCGCAGCTCCAGGGGGGTTGGGAAGCCCAGACACCGGGTGGCTCCGTGCAGCCCTCTCTGTGGCTTGCGTGTGATGGTCAGGACCTCAGAGCGGCGGGACCCCTTGGCGGGCAGGGCTGGGGACCGGACAGCCAGCGTGGGCGGGGCTGGCTGGGAGAGAGATGGAGGCCGGGTCTGCTCCACCCGCCCCCACCCCTGGAAGCTGTGTCTTCTTGGGATTCCAGAACGTTCCATGCTGTGTCTTCTTGGGATTCCAGAATGTTCCACGTCTGCCTGGTGGCTGTACGGGCAGGCTCCAGAGTCCAAAGTTCTGGATTCGAACCCCTGCTCTGCTGCTGGCGACCTGTTTGATCCTGTGCGAGCTAACTGACTTCTCCGTGCCTCGGTCTCCCGTCTATGAAGTGGGGATGGGAGGGGATCCCAACTTTACGGGGTGGTCGTGAGGATTCGCTAACCACGTCCGGGGGCTCAGGACAGTGCCGGGCGCAGGGTGTGCTGCCCGTTGCTGGGCAGGCCAGGGCTTGGGCTCACTCCCCTCCCTCCCGGCTCCTCCCCTTCCTCCCCTGGAGAGTGCTTAAAGGTCCCAGCGCCAGGCCACACCCTAGACTAATTACCCTGGAATCTCCAGGGTGGGGCCCAGGCAGCCGTGTTTTTAAAAGCTCCTGGGAGATCCTCAGGTGTGGGTGGCCGCGTGCATGTGAAGTGGCCATGCTACAGTGAGGCCGCGGGTTGGAGCGGGCGGGGCCTGAGCCTCTGCATCCCACCAGCTCCCAGTGCAGCCTGAGCTGCCGTTCCGGGGACCACGCTGGGAAGAAGGGGCCCGGCCGGGACCCCTGCCTCCCTCCCTTCCACCGCTGCGTGGTAACAGCAGCAGCAGCCCCATTTCCCGGACGTCAGCTCCCCAGCGAGACACCCTCGTGTCATCCCCGTTTTGAGATGAGGGCAGTGAGGCCGGGCGCGGTGGCTCATGCCTGTCATCCTGGCACTCTGGGAGGCCCAGGCGGGAGGATCGCTCAAGGTCAGGAGTTTGAAACCAGCCTGAGCAAGAGCGAGACCCCGTCTCTACCAAAAATAGAAAGAAATTAACTGGCCAACTAAAATATATACAGAAAAAATTAGCCAGGCATGGTGGTGCATGCCTGTAGTCCCAGCTACCCGGGAGGCTGAGGCAGGATTGCTTGTGCCCAGGAGTTGGAGGTTGCTGTGAGCGAGGCTGACGCCACGGCACTCACTCTAGCCTGGGCAACAAGCGAGACTCTGTCTCAAAAAAAAAAAAAAAAGATGAGGACGATGCGGTCTCTGGAGTTGCAGGACCTGCCGTGGTCACACAGCCGGGCGGCAGCTCCGGGGCCTGCTCTGCGTTGGAGCCGCCGGCCTGCAAGAGTCTGTGCCCTGGCTGCCTGCCCCTCCCCCGCCCCTCTCTCCCCTTGCGTCCCCAGTCTGCCTCCCAGTGGGTGTCTCCCGTCACCTCCTCCCTGCTGCACCTGGACTTGCAGCGTTTTCTCTCTCCACGCCCTCCCGGACCGGCCATCCTCCATGTCCAGCTCCACAGTTTCCAGCCCAGAGCGGGCGTCTCTGACCCCCTCACGCCCGGGAGCTCCCGGGGCCCGAGGTGCCGTGTCACCACCCGGCCAGGTGGCACTGACGCTGCTGGACGAGGACGAGGCTGTCAGTGTCCCCCGGCTGGCCTGGGGGTCTAACTTCTACCTCCATAACGTTCCCAGGGCCCCGGGGTCCTGCTCACCTCCGGCTTCTCCCCTCCCTGTTCCTGTCCCGGCCTCCCACCCTCTGGTCCCTCCCACGGGCCACGCCCTGGTCTTCCTCTGAACCTTTGCACATTCTGTTCCTGCTTCCTGGGGAGGCTGTTCCCTGCTTGGCTCGCTCCTGCCTGTCCTTAGGGACGCCGACCCTGGGCCCCCAGGTGGGGCAGGAGCCCTCTGTCCTCCGGGACTCTTCCCCCCAGACCTATGGTGCCTCTGGGGGCCGGTCGGCTTGTCCGCCCCACGGTGCGAGAACCTGGGTCCAGGGCGTGTAGCCTGGCGTCCACCTGCACGAGTCCCGGTCCCCCAGGGCCAGGTGGCAGGAGCCCCCCGGTTCCCCCAGATGGCAGGGCGGGAATCCCTCAGGGCAAGGGGATGCGGGTCTGGCCCAGGAGCTGCTGGAGGCAGGAGGCCGGGCAGGGGACCCGGGCTGCCGTCCTGTCTGAGGACCCCTTGCAAAGCCAGGGCTGCCCCTTCCTTGGGGGGGGGCCATGCCCTCAGGGGTGGTGGCTTGGTCCGAGGTTCCTCCCATCCTCAAAGCTGGCGCCATCCTGCCGCCCCTGAAAAGGAAGGCAAGGCAGGGTGGGGGGAGGTGGGGAGGGTGGTGTTGGTTCCCATCATCACCTTGAACTTCTTGAGGCCTCGGCCTGCAGTCTGTTTAGCTTAGAGGCGCCCTCGCCTGGGTGCCCCCCCCCTCGGTCTTTGAGCAAACTCAGCCCAGATGCAGCTGGCGGGCGCCTTGACCTGGGGGTCCGGTGGTTTCTCTGGGCCGCTACTTCCTGCTGTGCACCCATGCGGGCGGGGGCGGGGCCGGCCACCTATGGGCCACAGCAGGCAAGTCCCCTGCGCTCTGAGAACTCTCCTCTCTCCCCAGGCCGGTGGAGACATCGACATGGGGCTGAAGCTGTCCTGCCTGAAAGGTAAGGCCTGGGGCTCACATGGGGGGGGCTCATTGGCGGGAGGGAGGGCAAGGCGGGCAGAGCTGGGGGACAAACCCGGAGCCCCAGTGTTGCTGCCCTGGGCAGGGAGCGGGGCGCTGCCCCTCACGGCAGCCCCTGTACACAGCAGGTGCCCCGCGCTTGCTCTGACTCTGAGCACTCTCCCCCGCCCTCCTTTTCCTTGGCGGTCAAGGGATGTGGGAAAGCCGCAGTGCCCTTGGGCCTCAGTTTCCCTCTCTGGCTGTGCAGAGCAAGGGAGAAGAGGCCGTGGGAGGGAGCCGGGCGCGCACCAGGGTGTCTGCTTTCCTGAAGATACACCCGGGGCCTTTGCCACCCAGATAGGAGGTCCAGCAGGCTGGGCGCCGGGAGAGAGGAAGAGCCAGTGGGGAGAAAGTTCTAGAACACCAAAGCGTGGGAGGGCGCTGCAGGAGTTGGTCAAGGCAGCCCAGACCGCCGCTGTGCTGTCCGTGTGCTCTAGACTTTTCTGTCCAGCGCCTGGATGGCCCGCAGGCACCACCCCCACCCCCACGTGAAATCCGGGGCTCTCCCTGGACGGCCCCTGGTCCGGGCGCAGCGTGCCCACCAGGCCTGACCGCGGCTCCGTCCCTCCCCGGCAGGCCAGGCCGCCCCGTCCCCGCACTCAGCCCCTCGGACCCTGCGGCCCTGCTGCCTAAGCCCGGTGACTCTGGTGCTCCGTGTGCCCCCGGGCCCCGCCTGTCCTGCGGGCGGAGGGCCGAGGATCTGACGGCTGACATTTGAGCCTGGCCTCAGCGCTGCCTCCCCGAGACCTGGAGTGGTGCCTCAGTTTCCTTATCAGTAAAAATAGGCTCACGACGGCACCGTCTCGGCTTCCCCCGGAGCTCCGAGTGCGCGCACACCCTAGCGACCGCTGCCGCCTCCGTTCACCGTGTAACTCCCCGCGCGGCACCCGCCAGGCCCCGGAGCCCAGGCTGCGGGCTGCAGGCCGGCCGGGGGTACCGGTTGCGGGCTACAGACGCTGGCGCTCATGACGGGAGGACGGAGGGAACTTACTGGAAAGCTGAGGGGGGGCCCACGGGAGACGTGCAGTGAGGAGGCAGTGGTGGGAGGTCCCCGTGGGGGTGCACGGACCACCCGTCCAGCTGAGCGCCCCACCGGCCCGGCCGAGGTCGTCTGGGGCCCGCCGCTCGGCCCGGGCAGGGCGGGGCGTCTGCGTGGCCAGCTCCTCCAGGACCGCGTGCAAAGGCGGGTCGTGGGGCTCCCCTGGGGAGAATCGGGGCTCTGCTTGCAAAGTGGAATGGGGTGCTGGACAGGCACAAGGAGCCCACGTCCCCTCCGGGGCCCCTCTGAGACTCCTGGCCGAGCACAGGGAGGAGTGGGGAGATGTTTGTCGAGTGAGTGTGCGTGAGCAGCGGGGCCATCCTGCAGCAGCCAGCCGTGAGGCGGTTCACGGCTTTAGAAGCTCTAGAACTCTCTTCCCTAGCATGTCGCTGTGGGTTTCCAGGCACAGGTAGGCTTTAAGGACACTCCTACATAATACACGTAACATAAAATGTGCCATCTTTTTTTTTTTTTTTTTTGAGACAGAGTCTCACTCTGTTGCCCAGGCTAGAGTGAGTGCCGTGGCGTCAGCCTAGCTCACAGCAACCTCAATCTCCTGGGCTCAAGCGATCCTCCTGCCTCAGCCTCCCGAGTAGCTGGGACTACAGGCATGCGCCGCCATGTCTGGCTAATTTTTTTCTATGTATTTTTAGTTGGCCAGAGACGGGGTCTCGCTCTTGCTCAGGCTGGTCTCGAACTCCTGACCTTGAGTGATCCGCCCGCCTGGGCCTCCCAGAGTGCTAGGATGATGGGGGTAAGCCACCGCACCCGGCCAAAATGTACCATCTTAATCGCTGCGTGCAGTTCGGTTGCATTAAGCACATTCGCATGACTGAGCCGCTGTCACCGCCGTCCCTCCCCAGAGTGAATTTCCCAGAATTTCTCATCATCTCAGAAGGAAACTCTGCGCCCATTGAACACTAACCCCCCTCGCCTCCCCGAGCTCCTGGCAGCCGCCGTTCCCCTTTCTCTCCCTGTCTGCGGGTCCGACTCCTGCAGGGACCTCCCGTGTGTGGGACCACAGACTGTCGTTTTGTGGGTGGCGTCCTGGTGTTTCCCAGGTCTGCCCCGGGCAGCGATGCTCAGCGCGTCCTGCCTTCCGTGGCTGGCTGAGTGACAGCCCAGCGCGTGGCCAGAGCACGGTTCCTTTGTCCCTTCTTCCACCGTGGCCTCTTGGGGCGTGTCCACCTTTCGGCTACTGTGTCAGGACACCTTTGGCCAAGGAACTGGGACCTGTTTCCTGCCAGCCCCAGGCTGGGGCTCAGTAGGGAGGTAGACGGAGCGTGGGGAGTGTGCGGGCGCTGATGGCACTGGGGATCGAATCCCGCCCCCAGCAAGCATGGGGATCGAATCCCGAGGGAGCATGGAGAGTGCTCAGGCGCTGACGGCGCTGGGGATGGAATCCGCCCCCAGCCAGCAGAAGTGCAAGCCCCAGGCTGAGGGCTCTTGGGGCCGCTTTAAAAGGCCCGCCTTCCGGCCTGGGATCGCTAAGTGCTAGGGTGCTGGGCGGGGTGCGGGGGAGGGCGGCGTGCTGATGCATTTTCAATTGCTCCGCGTGCTGATGCATTTTCCATTGCTCCGCATGCTGATGCATTTTCCATTGCTCCGCGTGCTGATGCATTTTCCATTGCTCGCTGCCCTGCCACCGAGCCCTGCCTTCCCCCGCCCCCCTCCCAGGTGTGGTCTGTGGAGGTGACGAGGCCACACAGGCCTGGGGGTGACGCAGGGCGTGGGGTGCGGGGCCAGAACCCTTCGCCCTGCTCTGAACCAAGGCAGACCCGGGCCCACCAGCCCGGAGCCCCCAGGCCCTCCTGGTCCGTGTGTTCCCGTCAGGGATGAGTCCCGCGGGAGGACGCGGGGCAGCCCTGCCTGCCCCCGAAGCCCCTGCACAGCTCGCGGGACCCGCGGCGGTGGCCGGGCGCAGTCCCGCGGGCTGCCTCCTGTCCCGGGGCGGGCGCTTGGGCGCCGGCGTGTGCTTCTCCAGGCAGGTCCTTGCCGCGACTCTCGGATGACCGTGTCGGGCTTCGTTTTGGGGTCGTTTCCAAACCATACTGTGGATAAAACCACATTGAACATCTTTGCTTTCTGACTTTTTAAAAAATTATTTCTTTGGCCGGGCGCGGTGGCTCACGCCTGTCATCCTAGCACTCTGGGAGGAGGCCGAGGCAGGAGGATGGCTCAAGGTCAGGTGCTCGAGACCAGCCTGAGCAAGAGCGAGACCCCGTCTCTACTAAAAAAATAGAAAGAGACTAATTGGCCAACTAATATATAGAGAAAAAATGAGCCGGGCATGGTGGCACATGCCTGTAGTCCCAGCTACTGGGAGGCTGAGGCAGGAGGATGGCTTGAGCCCAGGAGTCTGAGGTTGCTGTGAGCTAGGCTGACGCCACGGCACTCTAGCCCGGGCAACAGAGAGAGACTCTGTCTCAAAAGAAAAAGAAAAATTATTTCTTTGGGATAAATTCCACACATCGGAATGCCTGGGCAAAATAGGGTGAGCGGTGAACTCTTCTGGGGGGCTTAGTCTGGGCGAGGCCCTGTTCTGGGTGGATGGACCCCCCTCCCTCCCCCCCGTCCTCACGACAGTCCCTGGCACAGGTGCTCTCAGGATCCCCCATTTTTCCAGATGCGGAAACTGAGGCACAGAAAGCCAGGGCAATTTGCCCAGCGCCACACACGGGGCCCAGGCAGGATTCGAACCCAGCGCGCTGGGGCCAGAGGTGGTGTGACCCCTTGAGAGGGAAACATCCCAATTCGGCGTTGGGAGGAGCCAAGAACCCCGTATGGCGATGACATGTGGGTGTCCCCGGGCTGCTGGGTGGAAGCTCCCCCACTAGGGTGGCCCCAAGCAGCAGGAATTTACTTTCCTCCCAGTTGCGGGGCGGCAGTCCCAGGCCAGGTGCCGGCAGTCCCAGGCCAGGTGCCGGCAGTCTGAGGCCAGGTCCCTCCTGCGCCCCGTGGCTTGTGGCTGCGTCGCTGCAGTCTGCGTGGCCACGTGGCGTCTCCTCTCGTGTCTGCTCCCCTCCTTTCCTGGGGGACGCCTGTCACTCGGTGTCCGGCCCACACTGGCCCAGGACAGTCTCGTCTCAAGACCCTTAACCCAGGCGCGCTGCAAAAACCCCGTTTCCCAGTAGGTCGGACTCACTCCCGGGTGCCGCCCGCCGCCGTTCACCCTGCTAGACACGGGTGCCAGGAGCTCAGCCCCTGCGGCCCGGACGCCACCAGCGGCCCCGGGCGCCAGGCGCGGGGACACAGCCCGGCCCCAGGCCCTGTCCCCCTCTGCTCCAGACCGGAAGCCCGGCCCAGGGGTCGGGAACTGCCCGGCTGTTCCCCGCCGACCCTCCCCGTCCCCAGCTCTGGGCCAGCTCCCTGGGTTCAAATCCCAGCTCCGCCCCTGGTGAGCCACGCGGCCTTGCAGCAGGTGGCGATGTTGTGCCTCCCAGCGCACAGGGGCCCCGGCCGTTGCGTTGCACCCGACACGTCTGAACAGGGGACCCCACGTGTGCGTTTTCCGCTGAGCCCGCAGATTGTGAAGTGGTCCCTGCCTTGGGTCGAGTGGCCTTGCCTCTCTGGAGCCCAGTGGCCTCCAGTGTAAACTGAGGCAGCCTTCATCCTGCCCACAAGGGGTTTATTTGAACGCCGGGTTCTGGGGAGCAGGAATTACACAGGCAGGACTGCGCCCCGGGGCCCGCTGTCTAGAACCGCCCCATTCCATGGAAATAAAATGTGGGCATGCCCGGAACCCTAACATTTCCAACAGTCCTGTGAGCAAAGTAAAAAGAAACAGGTGCAGGCCGGGCTTGGTGGCTCACGCCTGTCATCCCAGCACTCTGGGCGAGGCGGAGGAGGGTTGCTCAAGGGTCAGGAGTTTGAACCAGCCTTGAGCGGAACCCCGTCTCTAC